TTCTATACATTGATAATGGCGGCCAGGGATGAATATTTGATGAGGACGATTATGGATATATGTTATTGTATGAATAGATGATTTCTGGACACATGTATATATATATATATAATATATATATACACACACACAATTATATATGTGAAGATGTTGATAATTTTACATATATATTTTCCTTTCTTTCATGAGAATGTTCCAAGTTGGTTTTCTTGAATAATAACAATGATGATGGCTTTGAGATATTACACAGATTGTTGTTTCTATATGTATATATGTATGATTATATATATGTATTGTGGGTGTGTGCGCGTTCATTTATGTGAGTAAATGTGACATGTTCATAAATAATATATATATATATATAATTTCATTGAAAACGTGATGATGGAATTATATTTAATAGTATGATTTTTATCAATTATGTGATCTGTTACGTCTAAGTGCTGCTATTCTTGAGGGTGGTACTTATGTATGTGATATATATAGGTGTCTATACGGGAGATAGTTTATAATGTGTGATTAATCTGTTTTAGGATCCTATTGCTATTTTATTTGAATGTTACCAGTAACATGTTTATGCATTGTTATTGAATTATATCGGTTGTTTCATGAATTTTATGAGTTTACAAACATGCTAGGAACTCATGTGTATGTTTATTTTTTTTATTTGATTATTGATAATTTGGATGATGATTAAATGTGATTTCTTGATTAAACATGAATATGTAGTATTATTGTAATTATTTTAGAATATATGCACTGATTTTGAAGTATGTTTTCAGAGGTCAAATAAATTTGAAATTACAACAATAATAAACTTGCCATGAATTTTTGAAGCAGCATAGGTCTGGCTGTTTATACTAGTGAATGTGATTCTAGATTACAACAATAACAACAAGCCTTAATTCTAACTTAATTAGGGTCAGCTATGAATTTTACTTTTCTACGCAGCTTTGTTTGAAATTAGACTTTCTTGAAGGCCTAGATCTAGAATGTCATTCCTAACTACTTCAGTGCACATAATTCTTAGTCTACCCATCCCTCTCCTAGTATTAGGTATAAGAAATATCCTTCTAAGTACGAACTGGTGCTTCTAGATCTAGAATGTGATTCTAGGATAAAAAAATTATCTGATGTTGATTGATTAAATGAATGTTAAATAGATGTGATTGATTAAATGAATGTTAAATAGATGTCGTTTGACGTTATGAGTGTTAGGACAATATACGAGTTATTAATTTTTTTTAATATATGGATATTTTCTTTTGACATGAACACAACGCATTCCCAAGGCGTTCTGTCACCATGATTCATAGGATAGGTAAGCAACGCATCAAGAAAGTACATTCTCATTTGCAACATGATAATTGATTATGAAAAATGTTTGAGAAATGATTTCTAATGATATTAAATGTGCGTTTGTTTCTGGTTTTGAAAACGTGAATCCTAGGAGGAAAAATTGAAATAGGAAAGAAAATCATGTTTGGAGATGTACCGTACCAAAATAAAAAACAAAAATGTTTTTGGATTTTTCCCAAAAACTTCAGCTCTTCATTTTCTCCAGCCGTTCTCTCCTCTGCCTCTTGCCATTCTCTTCTCAGCCTCTCGCCGTTCTCTTCTCTCTCGTTGCAAACCAAATTCTGACAAGATGTCGTCGTGAACCAGATCTGTGAACTGCGAAGACCAGAGAATGTTGTACAACACCCGACGGATCTTGGCCCAGATCGGCTGTTGTTGGAGATTGCGATTCGCAATTCTTGTGGCCAGAGAACGTCATACAACACAAGGACGGCTCTTTGCCAAGATCGATCGTCGTTGGAGATCGTGATCCGTCATTATTGCAAACCACCGTTTGTGATCAATAGAGATCGTTGTTCGGCATTCGTCTCTCTTTCTCTCACCGCCGCCTCCGCCTCTCTCTTGCTTGCTCTCTTTACGAAACGACATATCCTTCCTCCCTCTCTCTCTCCGATATGAGGACAACAACATTCCTATAGATTTTCATTTTTAAGATCTTCATCGAGGCGCGGAACTTCGCGCGTTCGTCGTCATCGAAGGAAATGGCAGATCTAGTAATGGCATTTGGCAGACAAACACTATCCAGTACAATCCGTTTCTTAAAGCCAAAGATTTATGTGCAGAGGGTTGTTGTTGACTTAGATACCCACTACTTAAAGGTCAATATTTCTCTTTAATCTATTTTGCCACTTCACTGGAATATTTCTGTCGTTTTTTCTTAAATTTGTTGGACATTTTGTTATCCACGATTATCTACCATAACCAACGGAGAAGAGCAAATCATTTTAATTTAAAAGTAGAAAGAACAACTCTCATGATTATACTGTTAACAATGTACAAGAATTTCTTGAGGAATATGTTGGGTGCACGAATTGTTTGTGCATTTGATAATTGAATATGTTAAAAAAGTGGTTTTCTAATGTGACTATGACATTCTTTGGATTTTTTAAGGATTAATTTAGTAAATACAATATTTACTTGTAAGGACAGGCCAGTAGAAACATGAAATAGGTAGTCGGCGACAATGTAATCACATAGTTAATTTTATAGATCATCTAGTTGATTAAATGTGTGATTTGTATATACGACAATAATATAAGTTAAGATTATTCACTAAGTAAATTTTTTTTTTTTATTAATCATTCCCTAAGTTATCTTATTTTAAATTATTTATTATTTATTTGTAATGTAATTTAAATTATTATATTAATTATTAGTGTTTTTATTTGAGATTCAATTATTAATTATTTAATATATTATTATTTTAAATACTATTACATGTTTTTAAAAATGAAACTACTAAATGCATTTTCAGAAATGATTCCTGCCTGAAAATGAAAATGTTTTCATTTCCATTTTCATACAGAAAATAAAATCATTTTGGAACTAGTTACATTATTTTTTGTTTTCATTTTCGTTATCAAAACATTTGTTAAACAAACATGATTTACAAACCGTTTTTATTTCCATGTCTCAAAAGATGTGCAAAAATGTTTTCAAAAACAATCTGAAACCAATTCCTGTATTTTTCTAAAAAACAAATTTGATCTCTGAATTATGAGATTTTATGGGTAAAAATTGAAAAAGAATACATAAACTTTAATATGTATGGAGGTTTTATTCCAAATCTAACCTAACTCAAAGCATGCAATAGAGGAAATGAGAATGAAGACAAGGAAAAAAATTAACAAACTTATTGGAGAAGCTAATTAAGGCACTCATGTGTTTCTAGCTGTTGAATATAGTCAAATAAAAAGAGCATTTTTTAATACTCATTTTTTCCTTTTCTTTTCTTATATTTTTAATCTTTATTTGGCATTCTTTTTGCGTTTTTCTTTTTGTAGAACTTTCTATGATTTAACTTTTTTACTGTTAGGGTCAGTTTCTAACTGTGAGATATGGTCAAGAGCATTTTTTTTATCTAATCTAATCTAACAAACATATAAGTGTCAAAGTTTTTTTTCTATTGGCCCCCCTCCTTTCACATCTTTTTTTCTTTTTACTTTTTTATCTCTATTTTTTATTTTGAAATTGTTTTGTTATTTTTTTGATTTTTTTACATTTTATTTTTTGCGTGTTCTTTAAATATATATTTTTTTCTCAATTTACTTCTATGAAACTATTTTTTTTGCATGTGTTCTTATTTTATTTTTTCTCGATAGTTTAAATAATTTTTTTCTAATATAACAATACATAAAAGAGTCAAAAGCTCTTTTTCGTGGGGTTGTCACGCGCCAGTCCCTCCATTTATCTCTTTTTCCCTCTTTAGTTCCTTTTTTATCTTTATTTTTTTGTGATATTTTTTATATTTATAATTTGTTGAGTGTTTTTTTAATATGTTGTTCCTTACTTTACTTATATGAGAATAATTTTTTCGCATGTGTTATTATTTTATTTTTAGCTGGTTAAAATAGTTTTTTAAATATGTCCCTACTTAATTTTTTTTTTGTCAATTCTTATCTTTATACATATTTCATTTTAAAATAAATTTAAAAATCATTAAATAGTTGTATAAATAAATTTCTCATTATTAAGTAAACAATAAATTTTTCAGATGTTTTTAACACAGTAACACGTGCGGAGAAGTCGCCAAACTAGTAATAGATAAAGAAACGATGAAATATTAATAAACCACCGTACACAAATCAACTTATCAGAAATATTTCTTAATAAATAACATAATTTAATAATTTTTTATACAACTGTACACATGTATGTTCATTTTTTCATTCAATAAAATTCGCTTTTGGGAGCTTGTAAATGCACGCGAATAACAAAATTAGGTTGTTTGGCAGTGCAAACTAGAGAGGCTGTTTGGCAGTGCAGACTAGAGATTTTCAATTTTGGTCTTTGAAAACATGCAATCCAACATTACTAGTTACTAGTCTATCTATACTCTATAATCTCTATTAGTTTTTTTTTTTTTAATTTTTTTACTTTTTTTTTTTTGCTTGAAATCTCTATTAGTTATAGATTCTAGAAAGTTTCCCTAAAATATATTGGGCTTCCTTAGTGAGCCTAAAATGAATAAGGGAAATAGTAGAAAATAGGTCAATATGAAAAGTTTAAAAAAATATATAAACTAATTTTTAGTTATAGAAATTAATAGGTCATAACTTGTCAAGTTATGATTCATAATCAGATAAGTTATGGACAAACTTGTCAAGTTATAGTTCATAGCTAGACAAGTTATGAACAATTATAAACAATAACTTGTCAAGTTATGGTTCATAACCAAATAAATTATGAACAAAAATAATAATTTAACATATTTATTAATTTATATAAATTATTAATCTATTAATTTTAATTCATCTTAACCTATTTTCTTCTTTCTCCCGATGTACAATTGAGACAATGGGCCGAATAAAACTCCAGCCCATTTTTCTTCCCTCTGTAAACACCAAACGACATTCTTCTCTTATTTGTTTCCTTTCTTGGGAAGCGAAAGAACCTCTTCCTACTCCTTTCCACAAAGAAAAAAAAAAAAAATCGCTCTTCCTACTTGTTTATCAGTTGAACTATAAATGGCTTAAACCCTCCTTGTCCTCTCCAATGTGGGTAATAATTTCTCTGAGAAATCAATGGGGGTTGGAGGCAAATTCTGGGACTTGCTCAAACCCTACGCCCGGAACGAGGGCTTCGATTTCTTGCGGAACAAGCGAGTCGCCATTGACCTTTTTTTCTGGATCGTCCAGCACGAGACCGCTCTCAAGTCCAACGCTCGAAATCCGCATCTCAGGCTCACCTTCTTTCATACCATCAATCTCTTCTCCAAGGTTCCGTATCTTTCTCGTTTTCCTCTTTCTGTTTCGTTTCCGAGAAACTAGAACTGAAATGCAGTTGGTCTATATATTTTTGTATTTGAAGTGTTTTAGGTTTTTAAGGTAATGTGTCCATCTAAACTGAACCGGGCAATTTTTAAAAGAACTCAACAGGGGGTAAAAGTGAATATTGGTACGATGCTCAATACATTTTGTGTGTAAAAATGTTAATTTTTTGATTAGTTTGAACCGTGTTTTTGGTTTCTTAGGTATGTCTGTAACTAAACTGCTTTGGCCACTCTCTAAAATAACTTAACATGGACAAAAAAATTGCTATGAAGCTCCCTGCATTTGTTTCTAAAAATCTGATGTTTTTTTATTTTTTATTTTAATTGGCATTGGGAATTTGAACTGCAGACCTCAACACTGTGGGAAGGATCACGTATTTACCGCCAGGCAAACAAGCGAGAATTTGTTTTGTATTTTTCATTTTCTAAGGCAAAACAAATATTTTCAGAAATATAACCAAATACAGTTTTACATTTTTATTATAGTAAAAAATATCTCTCTATAAAAACAACTAAAGACATTTTCGGAAACAGTACTAACACTAATAAAAAAAAAACCCATTTTTCATACCCAGAACAAAACCATTTCCAAAATGCTACCAAACTTGCCCTTTGTATTTGAAGTGTTTTTGGTTGCTTAGATACTGTCTTTAAGTAAGATAAAATGTTTACTTTGTAAACTACTCAAGTTGGGGCCTTGGGGGCAAATAATTATAATGGAAAAGGTCACTTCATTTTTTTTTTGGTCTGAACCTGTTGGGTACTTGGGTGTTGCTGTAGTTTGGAGCATTCCCAGTCTTTGTAATTGATGGAACTCCTTCTCCATTGAAGTCACGAGCAAGGATTGCGAGATTCTATCATTCTTCTGGCATTGATTTGTCTAGCTTTCCTGAGGCTGAAGATGGGGTTTCGGTTGAAAGGAACCATGCATTTGTCTAGTGTGTTCAAGAATGTGTGGTGGGTTGTGCTTTTGACACCATGGTTATGTTATTTAAAATTTGGTGTCTCAATGAGTATTTTTGGCCCGTAACTCTTCTTTTGGTGGTTGAGGAAAATGAGGAAAGGATCTGAATTTATCTTGATAGTTTGTTGCTTTGTGATGAGTAAAAAAAAAAAGGCTACATTGAATCTGAAGGGTATTGCATTCTTTATTTCATGGTTGTTTCACGAAAAAGTCTATCACTTTCATGAGGTGATAGCAAGAATAACACTTAATAATCTTACTTCCCGTGCAATTTCTCCCTCCCATCCCAGGAATAATTGAAGAGAAGTCTATCACTTTCATGAGGTGATAGCAAGAATAACACTTAATAATCTTACTTTCCATGGATCACTTTTATGAAGTGATAGCAAGAATAACACTAAATAATCTTACTTTCCATGAAATTTCCATGAGCATCCATGTTACTATATGTGTTTTAGAAGAAAAATAAAGACAAAAATAAAGTCATATTAGGAGAAAAAATGTGGTTATTCAGTACATATTTGGCTTGAACTGGGTCTGTGTACCGAGCCTGTGCTAATGAGATTGCTAGTTAGCATAATAACATGTTTCTTTAGACGCAGATTAAAGATCTCTGTGCATAGTTTGGCTGTTATGGATTTCTGTTTTTGCCTTTCGTTTTTGTTTGTTTCATCGTTGTTGTTTTGCTTTTTGAGGACTCTTTGTCCTCGCCCCTTGTATTGATTTCCATTCATCAATATAAAGTTTTTTGTTACCCAAAAGTAGACTATCTGTGCATAGCTTTTCGGGTTCAGGTTTATTTTTGATGTAGCTGAAGTTGCATGAGCAATTTACTTCTAGCTAAAATATGTTTTTATCACAACTGTACCCCACCTAACTCATGCTTGGATAAGCGTTTTTTTAAAATATTTTTATAGATTTTATGGGTAATGCTTGTAGAATGTTTTTCACCTGTTATCACTAACAATGATTCAATAGGAACTACTTGAGCTATTTGGGATGCCTCTTCTGAAAGCAAAAGAAGAGGCTGAAGCACTGTGTGCCCAGTTAGACCATGAAGGTCATGTAGACGCTTGCGCATTTCTCTTTGGTGCTACATGTGTGATAGAAGGCTTTAGATCGAACTCCAAAGTAAGTTTTAAGTCACAGTTCTCCAATTTTTTTCTTCCGAAACTGATGAAACTCAGTGAATTTTGGCCCCAAAAATTGGGTTGGCTGGCTATACCCTGCCATGATTGTATAGCTCGAAAAGAGCTTCGATTTGGTATATTATATGTTCAGTAATGATATATAGATAAAAGGTTATGGCCGTTTTCAGTTACAGTTCTCCGACATTTTTCCTCCAAAACTAATAAAAACAAGTGAATTTTGGCACAAAAAATTTGATTGGCGGCCTATGCCCTGCCATGATTGTTGAGCTCGAACAGCGTTTCGATTTGGTATATTATAGGCCTAGTAACGATTTGTAGATAAAAATTTATGGCCGTTTTCAGTAACAGTTCTCCTATTTTTTCCTCCGATACTAATGAAAACAAGTGAATTTTGGCACGAAAAATTGGGTTGGAGGGCTTTGCCCAACCATGTCAGTAGAGCTTCAAAAGAGCTTTGATTTGGTATATTATAGGCTCAGTAACGATTTGTAGATAAAATGTTATGGCCATTTTCAGTCATAGTTCTCTGATTTTTTCCACCGAAACTGACGAACACAAATGAATTTTTGCCCGAAAAATTGGGTTGGTGGGCTACAGCCTGCCATGATTGTTGAGCTCGAAAAGAGCTTCGATTTTGTATATTGTAGGCCCAGTAACGATATCTAGATAAAAAATTATGGCCGTTTTCAGTCACAGTTCTCCGATTTTTTTCCTCCGAAACTGATGAATTCTAGTGAATTTTGGCCCGAAAAATTGGGTTGGCTGGTTACGCCTTGCCATGATTGTAGAGCTCGAAAAGAGCTTCGATTTGGTATATTATAGGTCTAGTAACGATTTCTAGATAAAAAGTTATTGCCGTTTTCAGTCACAGTTCTCTGATTTTTTTCCTCCAAAACTAAAAAAACAAGTAAATTTTGGCCCAAAAAATTAGATTGGCGGGCTATGCCCTACCCTGATTGTAGAGGTTGAAAAAAGCTTCGATTTGGTATATTATAGGTCCAGTAACGATTTCTAGATAAAAAGTTATTACCGTTTTCAATCACAGTTCTCTGATTTTTTTTCCTCCAAAACTTATGAAAACAAGTGAATTTTGGCCCAAAAAATTGGATTGGCAGGCTATGCCCTGCCATGATTGTTGAGCTCGAACAGAGCTTTGATTTGGTTTATTATAGGCTCAGTAACGATTTGTAGATAAAAAGTTATGACCGTTTTCAGTCACAGTTCTTCGATTTTTTTCCTCTGAAACTGACGAACACAAGTAACTTTTGGCCCAAAAAATTGGGTTGGCGGGCTACGCCCTGCCATGATTGTAGAGCTAGAAAAGAGCTTCGATTTGGTATATTATAGGTCTAGTAACGATTTCTAGATAAAAAGTTATGGCTATTTTCAGTCACAGTTTTATGATATTTTACCTTTGAAACTGATGAAAACAAGTGAATTTTGGCCCGAAAAATTGTGTTAGCTGGCTAGCCCTACCATGATATTAGAGCTCAAAAAGTGCTTCGATTTGGTATATTGTAGTCCCAGTAATGATTTCTAGATTAAAAGTTATAGCTGTTTTCAGTCACAGTTTTCTGATTTTTTACCTCTGAAACTGGTGAAAACACGTTAATTTTGGCCCAAAAAGTTGGGTTGGTGGGTTATGACCCGCCATGATTGTAGAGCTCGAAAGAGCTTCGATTTGGTATAATATAGGCCCAATAACGATATCTAAATAAAAAATTATGGCCATTTTCAATCACAGTTCTCCGATTTTTTTCCTCCAAAACTAATAAATATAAGTGAATTTTTGCCCAAAAAATTGGATTGGCTGGCTATTCCCTACCATGATTGTTGAGCTCGAACAGAGCTTCGATTTGGTATATTATAGTCACAGTAACGATTTGTAGATAAAAATTTATGGCCGTTTTCAGTCACTGTTCATCGAATTTTTCCTCCGAAACTAATGAAAACAAGTGAATTTTGGCCCGAAAAATTGGGTTGGAGGGCTCTGCCCAAGCATTACTGTAGAGCTTCAAAAGTGCTTTGATTTGGTATATTATAGGCTCAGTAACGATTTGTATATAAAAAGTTATGGCCGTTTTCAGTCACAGTTCTCCGATTTTTTTCCTCCGAAACTGAAGAACAAAAGTGAATTTTGGCCAGAAAAATTGGGTTGGTGGGCTACGCCCTTCCATGATTGTTGAGCTCGAAAAGAGCTTCAATTTTGTATATTGTAGGCCCTGTAACGATATCTAGATAAAAAGTTTTGGCCGTTTTTAGTCACAGTTCGCCAATTTCGTTCCTCCGAAACTGATGAAACGCAGTGAATTTTGGCCCGAAAAATTGGGTTGCTGGGCTATGCCCTGCCATAATTGTAGAGCTCGAAAAGTGTTTCGATTTCGTATATTATAGGACCAGTAACGATTTCTAGATAAAAAGTTATGGCTGTTTTCAGTCACAGTTTTTTTATTTTTTACCTCAGAAACTGATGAAAACAACTGAATTTTGGCCCGAAAAATTGGGTTGGTGGGCTAAGCCCTGCCATGATTGTAGAGCTCGAAAAGAGCTTCGACTTGGTATATTATAGGCCCAGTAACGATATCTAGATAAAAAGTTATTGCCGTTTTCATTCACAGTTCTCCGGTTTTTTTCCAACAAAACAAATTAAAACAAGTGAATTTTGACCCAAAAAATTAGATTGGCGGGCTACGCCCTGCCATGATTGTAGTGGTCGAAAAGAGCTTCGATTTGGTAAATTATAGGCCCAGTAACGATTTTCAGATAAAAAGTTATGGCCGTTTTCAGTCACAGTTCTCCAATTTTTTACCTCCAAAACTAATGAAAACAACTGAATTTTGGCCCAAAAAATTGGAAGGCGAGCTATACCCTGCCATGATTGTTGAGCTTGAAAAGAGCTTCAATTTCGTATATTATAGGCCCAGTAACAATATCTAGATAAAAAGTTATGGCCATTTTCACTCACTGTTGTCTGGTTTTTTTCCTCCAAAACTAATGAAAACAAGTGAATTTTGGCCCAAAAAATGGATTGGCAGGCTATGCCCTGCAATGATTGTAGAGGTCGAAAAGTGCTTCAATTTGGTATATTATAGGCCTAGTAACGATATGTAGATAAAAAGTTTTGGCCGTTTTCAGTCACAATTCTCTGATTTTTTTTCTCTGAAACTGATGAACACAAGTTAATTTTTGCCCAAAAAATTGGGTTGGCGGGCTACGACTTGCGATGATTGTAGAGCTCGAAAACACCTTCGATTTGGTATATTATAGGCCCAGTAACGATTTCGAGATAAATAGTTATGCCTGTTTTCAGTAATGGTTTTTCGATTTTTTACCTCTGAAACTAATGAAAACAAGTGAATTTTGGCCCAAAAAATTGGGTTGGTGGGCTATGCCTGGCCACGATTGTAGAGCTCGAATAGAGCTTCGATTTGGTATATTATAGGCCCTGTAACGATATCTAGATAAAAAGTTATGGCAATTTTCAGTCACAGTTGTCTGGTTTTTTTCCTCCAAAACTAATGAAAACAAGTGAATTTCGGCCCAAAAAATTGGATTGGCAGGCTATGCCCTACAATGATTGTAGAGGTCGAAAAGAGCTTCAATTTGGTATATTATAGGCCCAGTAACGATGTGTAGATAAAAAGTTATGGCCGTTTTTATTCACAGTTCTCCGGTTTTTTTCCTACAAAACAAATGAAAACGAGTGAATTTTGGCCCAAAAATTGGATTGGCGGGCTACGCCCTGCCATGATTGTAGAGGTCGAAAAGAGCTTCGATTTGGTAAATTATAGGCCCAATAACGATTTCTAGATAAAAAGCTATGGCCGTTTTCAGCCACAGTTCTCCAATTTTTTTCCTCCAAAACTAATGAAAACAAATGAATTTTGGCCCAACAAATGGGAAGGCGGGCTATACCCCGCCATGATTGTTGAGCTTGAAAAGAGCTTCGATTGGGTATATTATAGGCCCAGTAACGACTTGTAGATAAAAAGTTATAGCCATTTTCACTCACAGTTCTCAGATTTTTTTCATCCGAAACTGATGAAAGCAAGTGAATTTTGGCCCGAAAAATTGGGTTGGAGGGCTCTACCCTGCCGTGATTGTAGAGCTTCAAAAGAGCTTTGATTTGGTATATTATAGGCTCGGTAACGATTTGTAGATAAAAAGTTATGGCCATTTTCAGTCACAGTTCTCTGATTTTTTTCCTCAGAAACTGACGGACACAAGTGAATTTTGGCACGAAAATTTGGGTTGGTGGGCTATGCCCGTCCATGATTGTTTAGCTCGAAAAGAGCTTCGATTTGGTATATTGTAGGCCCAGTAACGATATCTAGATAAAAAGTTATGGCCGTTTTTAGTCACAGTTCGCAGATTTTCTTCCTCCGAAACCCAGTGAATTTTGGCCTGAAAAATTGAGTTGGTGGCCTATGCCCTGCCATGATTGTAGAGCTCAAAAAGTGCTTCGATTTCATATATTATAGGCACAGTAACGATATCTAGATAAAAAGTTATGGCCATTTTCACTCACTGTTGTCTGGTTTTTTTCCTCCAAAACTAATGAAAACAAGTGAATTTTGGCCCAAAAAATTGGATTGGCAGGCTATGCCCTGCAATGATTGTAGAGGTCGAAAAGAGCTTCGATTTGGTATATTGTAGGCCCAGTAACGATGTGTAGATAAAAAGTTATGGCTTTTTCAGTCACAATTTTTCTATTTTTTACCTCGAAAACTGATGAAAACAACTAAATTTTGGCCCGAAAAATTGGGTTGGTGGGCTAAGCCCTGCCATGATTGTAGAGCTCAAAAAGAGCTTCGACTTGGTATATTATAGGCCTAGTAACGATATCTAGATAAAAAGTTATGGCCGTTTTTATTCACAGTTCTTCGATTTTTTTCCTCCAAAACTAATGAAAACAACTGAATTTTGGCCCAAAAAACTGGAAGGCGGGCTATACCCCGCCATGATTGTTGAGCTTGAAAAGAGCTTCAATTTTGTAT